AGCGGAAAATAAAAAGATAGCTCTCACGTGGAAGCTCCAACACAGGGACGGTCAACTGGTTGACCACAAGCCTAATAGTCCTCAGGAAACTCCTCATACACGTTGTCATCTGTTACCCATCCGGAATTTTTATCCAAATATAGAAAGTAAACAAGCGTAAGTACTTCCTGTACTTAACAAGTTAACATGGGGTTATGAAGCTCAAAAAGGTTGACACTGGTTTACTGCAGTTAGCACTTTTAGTAAGTCAAGATTTTATTATCAAGTTATGCTTAAGCTCCCATTTAAACCCACATAATCAGATATCAGAATCATTTGCATCATATTATCATCGTATACCATCATAAATGAACAACAATAAGTAACCAATTATTCTATGAGTTTTTCGGGCCGCTCGTGACCACGAGCATGGCTGTTATAATAGTTTGTAACCCTCTGCAGAGGTTGCGCACATTCACCGTGAGTCATGATTCCCATGTACCCTGGTTAATTACTCCCATATCATTGCCAAGGTGAGCGGGCAAGGTGTAACAACCCAGAAATTTCCAGAAAACAAAAAAATCACAACTACAATTTTTTTTAAAAAAAATAGCCAATGGTTGGTGAATGTCTTGTAGGAAAACTACCCTAGTTGCATAAGTAGTACCTATTGTAGATGTTTATATCCTTGTATTTAATTAAATTTGCATGAGTTGCTTCTTATGTTCTTTTATATTGATTAATAAAAGCAACAACATTTATTTAAATATTTAAATAAATGTGTGTGTGTTGTTGCCAACCCTTGGATGAACCCTAAATGACCTCTAGTGGACCCCACTAGGGCATACATGTGTAGGCAACACATGTGTATGCATGTAGGAACTATGGAGTAGCTAGAAAAATGAAGACATAACATAGAAAAGCTAATTCAATTAAGCTAAAATGGAGAAAACCCTTTTGGGCCTAGAGCTCAAGCCAGCCTGGCTCCACAGCCCGCGAACAGACTCCAGCCCAGCAGGTCGCGCACCGGCACCCGTGGGCCAACCCAACCCCCCAACCGGCCTAGCCTTTTAGCTGCCCCACTCCCACCGTAATGGGCCACGGATTCGGCATGGTCCAACAACGCCGAGACAGCCCAGCTGGGAGCCCACCCTTCGTTCGTGTTACACAGGAGCCGCTCTTCCCTTTTTCCCGGTCACCGCCAGCTGGGACCCCGTTGTCATCATCCTCCTCATGCCTTCACCCCCTTTTCGCACCCGAGTCAGGACAGAGGAGGGGGAATCTCCATCGCCAGCCGTTCTCTTCACGTCGGTTGACAATGAACACGTGGATGTGACGCCACATCGCCTATCCGCACTACTACCGTCCCCAAAGCTGAAGCCATCCGCGCCATGATGCCATCGCTGTGGCCCGCACCCTTGCAACCGCCCCTGACACCCTCGTACGAAGCATGAGCAGGTTGTTACCCCAAAACGGAGGCGCCAAGGCAACCCACGACCGCGCCATGACCTTAACCCTAGCCTAAGCGCACCGATCACCTCCATGTGGCCCTAAGCCCCCTTTCCGCCGTTCACCTCACCATGATCACCACCTCTCTATAAGAAGGCACCACCGAGGTGCCCTAGCCGCTTCCCATCACCTTGCCGCCGCCCTGGTGACCACCACTTCCCGTCGTGACCAACAGAAGGAGGGGAAGGAGGGAGAAGGGGGGTAGAGAAGAGAGGGTTCTACTCGGAGCCGCCGAAGAGGAGCCACTTGAATGGAAGGTGATGACCCGATCGGCTACAGTGGAGTAGCTGCTCGGCACGGCATGGCCTCACCCCGACACTGCCTCGACTCGCCCTACATCGATATCCCTTTGCCATCGCCACCTATGGTGAGCCCCAACACCCTCCCGGCTCTCTACCGTAGTGTTCGTGGGCATCACTTCACCGTCTCTATACCGGGAATGAGCAAGAGGAGGCCCTGACCCCTATACCCTGCCTACACACACACACGCACACCTGCCACCCCAACCATGGACCGCACTGTGCACCGAGGGCCTGGGAATGCTGGAGAGGCGACACGTTGCGGAGCATGCCCGCCATGGCTAGAGCTCACCATGGCGAGGTTCCGTTCTTGCCGCGTCAGGCCGGTAGAAGCGAGGGAAGGAGGGCTATCAGTTTTGCCTTGGCAAGGGACGCGCCGCGCGCAGCAAGATGGAGGAAGAGAGCCACGTGAGGGAGCTGCTCGTGTTTACCTTAGTCAATGGAGCCATGCTCCAGAGCGCCGTCGTGCCGAGAGCGGTCCCAATCGCACCGGCCACCTCGCAGGACAAGGGCGGGCCGAGAAGTCTTGGTTGAGCCTAAAAACACTGCCAAGGAGCCACCAATCTAGAGAATGGCCGCTCACCACCGGTGGGCGCACCACCGCGTGGGGAAGCAAGGGGAGGGGCCGGGACAGTAGTTGGTGCACCATGTGCACCATGAACCAAGAGGAACAAAGAAAAGGTGAACGCGGTCCACCATAGATCCCACGTGCACCCGTGAACCGCTCGGTCATGCCCACCATGAGCCATGCCTACAAAGACTAGAGCCCATTTTGAATCCACAGTAACGTGGCATCACGAGGAGCTGCCACATGTTTGGGCCGACATGGCCCGTATCCAGCCCTAGCCCGGCGGTCCGCTAGAGCCCGATCTCGGCCCGATCAAAGTTGACCATTGACCTTGACCGGTCACCGGCCCACCTGTCAGTGACTCACTCCATCCTAGCCAATCGGGTGCTGCCACGTGTCACTGCCTGGAATTTCCAATTCTTTTTCTTTATCAGAAATTCATTTAATCTTTGAAAATTCATAACTAATTCATTTTAACTCAGAAAAATACCAAACCAGTGTTCAAATTTTTCTAAAAAGGAGCTCTATGTCATAGGCTTGTGTTTGAGTGCATTTGGATCTTTCAAATTTCTATTGCTTCTTTGTGCACCTTTATAGGAGTCACTCACGCGACCATATGTTATGTTTAACAGAGCCGCATGACCTGCCGACTGAGGAGTACGACCCCGACTACAGCGAGAACTTGGGAGACGACCTGCCAGGTGCCATGCCCCACCCAATCTTGTAGATCCTATTACGCATGCTATAACTAGAATTGCTAGCGCTTTATCTTTTATGCAATAATATGATGTTAGGTTGCATGGTAGTTTTACTTGAGCCTTATACCTTGTTGCGACCTTACTCCTGCACACCCGCTGATAGGCTAGATGCTCGCTTGTTACATACTTACTACTTTGCTCTTACTCGCATTATATCTGTGATGTGATGCTGGTGAGGGAGAGACGTATGTGCATAAGGCACGAGGTGCCGTAAAACTTGGTAAAACTGGATAATGAACATGGGGAGATCTTGGCTTGTGTTTTGGGTGTGTGGTGAGGGTTGAGTCGATTGGATAGGATCTTACAATGAGTCTTTGGGGCAAGTCTTGCCGAAGGGGTGTGACCTGGGCATCCCTTGCGAGAGTTACCTATGGCGGGTATATGTGAGAGGTGGACCGAGGTGTTGGTTATCCCTGGTGAGGTGCTGTCATGGCATGGGGAGTTGGTGATCCCCTTTTGAGAAGATATCCTGTCCGGTCCCCCTAAGGACTGGTATGTCTTGTGAACCGGAACCATGGGACCTTCGTGCACACCACTCGCTCCCGATGGGCAGGGGACGATTACCCGACTGACTAGGGTGGTACCACTACTACTAGGTTGGAAGGTGATAGTGTAGGGAGGTACGGGCATGGGGACCCACACCCTCCTAAGACAGTGTAGTGACCTTAGGGGCCCGGTACTATGTCTCACAGTCTCAGCGTTTCGGTGGACTCTGGGGTGGCCCAGGGCTGAGTGGTAGGGTGGTACTGTACCGGTTGGGAGGCAGTCGGAATCAGCCTAGACGAGCTGGATCGTCGAGGATGGTGATCTTGTGGATTACCAGGTGTACACGCTCTGTAGAGTTGATCGATCTATACATATAGCCGCGTCTGTGGATATGGACATTCCCGTGACCTACGCTTCACTTGATTAGAGAGAGGAGTCCTTCTCTACCTTTCCCCCGGGTTTTGTGTTGGATTCCGGCTTTGGCCGTTGAGGCGAGATCTGAGCAGGAGTCGATCTCGTCGCCTAGAGAGAGAGTGAGATGAGATGTGATGTGTGTGATGGGTGGGGAGAACGTGTGAATAAGATGGGTTAAAAACCAGATGAACATATTATTATTAAAATGTTAACTACTTGCATAGGAAACCCACAGCCTAAATAGGTCTCGTCCTACTTCCCCTAATGCATTCCACTCTCCACAAAGCAATGCAAGCATATGGTGGGTGATGCGTGGCCAGTACCAAGTGTACTGATAGATTTTTGGTAGGTTCCGAGCTCGAGTACGACTACGAGGGCGATGACTAGGAGGACTAGAAGGTTTGTTCTGCGCTCGAGCTGGTTCTAGGAGATCGTTTCCTGTTGCTATCCTCATCAGATGATGTTTAGGATGCTATGTGTGAGTGTGTTCCGCCCTGCGTGGCAAAGAGAATAATTTATGTAAAACTCTTTATTGTACTCTGATAATCATGTATGGCTTGGTGTATCACTGAGATTTGGGTAAATTGACGGATCATTTCATCATTTTACACTTTGTTTCTATGGATTTCCCTTCATGGAAATCAAGGACGTTTCAGTTGGTATTAGAGCCATGCTTGACCCTAGGATGGACCCGTAGGTTTGGACAATAGGATTATGAAAGATCTTGACACTTTCAGTTATATTACCGACCGTGCTGCATTTTCGTGCATGGCTTACCTCAATTTCACACTCTCTTACCTAAATTTCATTCTACCTTACCCATCACATCACTCCGTTCCACCCTGATTCACCCTGTATCATTCAGGATTCACCAAGTATCACCCTGATTTACCTTATTTCGCCTTGTCTTACCAAGTTTCACTCTGTATTCCTCAAGATACTTCATAAATAACAAGTACTGACTCCGTCTTATGGTTAAAATTGCAGATGGCTCCTATTGTCGAGCTCCCTATGGACGGACTGGCCTACCGTGGGTTCACCACGATCCTGTATGATGTACTAGACTCGCTAGGCGTCCCCACAGAGAAGATCGAGTACGTGTGCCGGGGTGACCCTAGACCCGACGGGTTCAAGGGCCACATCATGGTCCACCTCAAGGTCCCCGCCGGTGAGTTCGTACCCGTGCTGCGTACCTTCGAGACACTAGAGGTGGAGAACTCCATCACTTCATGCGTGCAGTCCGTCTCGTGCACTGCTCTTCATAGTGTGATGCGTGACGCACACGACTACCTCAAGACGGGACCGTACCACCTGCTGCATGCCGCTCTGGACCTCAACAGGTTCTCAGAGCCGTAGATCACTGCTGCAGACCGTGCTGCGTGTGATGAGGTCAACCCCTGCCTGAGGGCCTTCACGCAGTACATCATCGCCTAGGATCGCTACATCATGGATGTGGAGATGCAGAACCGCCGCTACCGAGACCTCCTGTTCCGTTGCGACGAGCAGTTCCTCAAGGTGGAGCGCAAGGAGGAGGAGATGGTCGGCAAGCTCGAGGAGGAGCGCATGGGCTATGACAGAATGAAGACCTTCTACGAGACCCGTGAGAAGTCACTTCGGGAGGAGATCGCCAACCTCAAGGACAAAGTTGGGGAGGCTGAGCTTCACCACGACTATCTTGAGTCCAAGGTGCTTGAGTGTGAGGATCGGATTGAGCGTCAGAGACATACCTTGAGGGAGTTCCATGAGAAGGAGAAGCATCGTGGCATTAGGAAGCTTGCCCTGGAGGCCCATTGCAACACGATGGAGAAGCTGGCTGTGGAGGCTACCGTCACCACCACCTACAACATGCATCACCTGGTTCACTACATCAAGTGCACCAAGTACCTTCATGACAAGGTGAACCGCCTTAGCCAGGCTTGGATCGACGCTGATCGCAAGCGCATCTAGGAGATCAGGAAGGTCCAGGACGTCCTCTTACCTAGGATGCAAGAAGCCACGCAGACAGCCCTTCCACATTGAGGCCACCAAGCTCAACTTCAAGGCTTGCCCGATGGAGGGTTACTCAGAGGTTCCGAGGACAGAGATGCTGGACTATGCTCTCACCTACGTCGCGAGGATCCACCGCTCTGACAACGAGCTCCGTGCCATGGAGGGCACTCCCGAGGCTTCCACTTTCAGTCCTTCTGCACCACCCATCACTCCCGGACAGGAGTAGTTAATGTATTAGTAGACAGGTTGAGCCCTGCGTGGCCAGAGATATGATGCACCCATGGAGTAAAGTAGGATGTCCCACTTTTGGAGCTACCTGCGAGTAGCACGATTCCCGCGAATCTATCAGTGTAGCTACTGGAGATGTCGCTATGTAATAAATTAATGTAATGGATGTTTTGGATCTTAATGCATCTTATGGTTCTTATTTGCATCTTTGTATGAGTGTTGGATAGAAATCTCATTTTAAATTGATAAACCACTTAACAATGCATCTAACGAAAAATGTTAAATAATGACCTAACCCTGCAGAGAGATGTCTTGCTGCCGTTCTGCTCGTCTGAACAACCGCTCGCTTTCCCCCGTGCCCATGGCCCGTGGTCGTGGCCGTGGCCATGGAGGAGGAAGGGGAGCTCCCTTCGGTGCCAGGGAGGAGCCCGCACCAGAGGAGCCCGCACTGGGGGCGGGTGCCGCCCAGCAGCTTGGAGGAGGAGCACCACCGCTGCCACCACCACAGTTGGCGAAGGTGATGGACCGCCAAACCCGCCTCTTGGAGGCGCTGGCTCAGGGGATGCTTCACCACCATGGGGGTCCTCCCAATGACTTCCAGCGGAAGTTGGAGGGTTTCCTCAAGCTAAGGCCTCCTACTTTTGACACCGCCAATGACGACCCCATCGCCACCGAGGACTGGCTCCGTGAGATGGAGAAGAAGCTGGACCTCACCACCTGCACTGACGAGGAGTGCATGGGGGTCGCCGCCCACCAGCTCACTGGTGCTGCAAGCGCATGGTGGGATAGCTACTGCGACGCCCATGAGGACCCGGGGAGAATCTCTTGGGAGGAGCTCGCCGAGGCCTTCTGTGAGCACCACGTGCCCGAAGGTGTCATGGATGCCAAGGTGGAGGTTTTTCGCAACATCTCCTAGGGCTCCCAGAAGGTTCAAGAGTACACCACTCGCTTCACCCGCATGATGAGGTATGCTCTAGGTGAGACCGATACTGAGAAGAAGATGTACTGCTTCAAGAAGGGGTTGAACTCTCGTCTCAAGGTGGCCCTCTCAGGTCATGCCTACCGCACCCTTCGCGAGATGGTCAACAAGGTGCTGGAGATGGAGAGGGATCATCTAGAGGAGGACACCCTCCATAAGGAGAAGAAGCGCTGGTTCGAGAGTTCCACTCGTGGCCTGGCCCCACAGAGGTCACGTGCTCATGTGCTTCCTCCGCTCCACTCACGCTACACTCAGGGGGCTGTGACCGCTCCAAGTCATGGAGGTGGTACCTACACCACCAACTACCACCGCCCCGCTCAGAGCTGTCCCACTCCGAGTTGCCCCACTCAGGGAGCTAGCACATGGAGGACCACTACGCCCACCTCCACAGGTAGTGCGCCCTTCACCTGTTTCGGTTGTGGCCAGCCTAGTCACAAGATCGCTGAGTGCCCCATCAAGAACGGCACACCGCCTGCTCCAACCCAGGCGAGACAGGCTGCTACACCTGCTGCTCCGCGCAAGAATGTTGCAGGGGCTATCCATAGTCATCTCAACCACATGACCGTGGAGGACACCCAGGACGCTCCCGACATGGTGTACGGTATGTTTTTGGTACAGGGAGTTATAGCTTTGGTTTTGTTCGACTCTAGAGCTACTTGTTCATACATTTCCACCAAGTTTGCCATGAGAGCATAGCATACCTGTGACCCCCTGCAAGGAGCCCATTGACACTAGTTCACCTTTGGGTCGCATTATATGCACCAAGAGATGTCAGGGAGTGAGTATCACCATTGAGGGCTACCCTTTTCTAGCCGATCTCACCTTACTTCCATCTGAGGGACTAGATGTCATACTGGGAATGGATTGGTTGACACAGCACAAAGGAGTGATATCTTGTTCACCAAGGTACGTAGAGATCACACACCCGAGTGGTCACATAATCGCTGTAAGCCTAATCAAGGGAAAGATAGTCTCTATGTTGTGTGCCTTAGAGGCCAAGACAGTTGAGGAGGTAACCGTTGTGAATGAGTACCCTGACGTGTTTCCTGAGTAGTTGCCAGGCATGCCACCTGATTGGAATGTAGAGTTTGTGATTGACCTTCTGCCTGGTACCGGGCCTATTGCTAAAAGACCATACCGCATGTCAGTCGATGAGCTGGAGGAGCTAAAGAAATAGCTCAAGGAGTTGTCGGACAACGGGTACATCAGACCCAGTGCTTCACCCTAGGGTTCCCCTATTTTGTTCGTGAAAAAGAAGGATGGATCCATGAGGATGTGCATTGACTATCGGAACTTGAATGCCGTGACAGTCAAGAACAAGTATCCTCTGCCCAGGATCGATGACCTCCTAGATCAGCTAAAAGATGCCAAGTACTTTTCCAAGATTGATCTCAGGTCTGGGTATCATCAGATGAAAATCAGATCCAAGGACATTCCTAAGACAGCTTTCGTCACCAGATACGGGCAATATGAGTTCACAGTGGTGTCCTTTGGACTCACTAATGCCCCGGCTTATTTCATGAACATGATGAATAAGGTATTCATGGATGAGCTGGACAAGTTCGTGGTGGTGTTCATTGATGACATCCTTATCTATTCCTCCATCGCCGAAGAGCATGAACAACACTTGAGAGTGGTTCTGGAGAAGTTGAGGCAGAATTAGCTTTATGCCAAGTTTAGCAAGTGTGACTTCTGGCTCGAAAAAGTCGCCTTTCTTGGTCATGTTCTCACTACTAAGGGAGTCGCTATAGATCCCGCAAAGATTGAAGCTGTGAAGGAGTGGGAACAACCCCGCAATGTGACCGATATCCGCAGTTTTCTTGGATTGGCCGGGTACTATCGAAGGTTCATCGAGAACTTCTCAAAGATAGTCAAGCCCATGACCAACCTACTAAAGAAGACTACTGAGCTTGAATGGACGCCCGAGTGTGAGCACAGCTTCCAGACTCTGAAACAGAAGCTTACCACCACTCCTGTTCTTGCCTTGCCCGATATCCAGAAAGACTTCGTAGTCTATTATGATGCATCTAGACAGGGACTGGGTTGTGTTTTGATGCAGTGGGAGAGTCATTGCCTATGCATCCCGACAGTTGAAGGACCATGACCAACGCTACCCAACCCACGATCTTGAGCTTGTCGCTGTTGTGCATGCCCTAAAGATCTGGAGGCACTACTTGATCGGAAATAAGTGTGATATCTACACCGATCATAAGAGCCTAAAGTACTTCACACAAGAGGATCTAAACATGAGACAGCGCAGATGGCTAGAGCTTATAAAGGATTACGACTTGGAGATTCACTATCATCCGGGAAAAGCTAATGTAGTCGCTGATGCCTTGAGCCGAAAGAGCTATTGCCACAATCAATCCATGGAAGCTATACCACCTGAGCTGTGTCAGGAAATGGGTGACCTTCGTCTTGAGATTCTACCAAAGGGTATGCTAAATGAGCTTCGAGTGCAATACAACCTCAAGGATCGGATCCGTAATGCTCAACTAGAGTGTCCAAAATCTGGGAGATCCGAGAACTCATGAAGAGGGGCAAGTGCCCCGAGTTCAGGGAAGATGTGCAAGGAGTGTACTGGTACAAGGACAGAATCTGTGTACCATCTAATCCCGCCTTGCAGCAAGAAATCTTGGAAGAGGGTCATGACTCTAAGTATTGTATCCACCTAGGAAGCACCAAAATGTATGCCGATATGAAGAATCAGTTATGGTGGAAGAACATGAAGGCAGATATTGCCGGGCATGTCACGCGATGCGACATTTGCAATAGGGTCAAGGCCGAGCATCAAAGACCGGCCGGGTTGCTTAATCCCTTGGACGTTCTGGTGTGGAAATGGGATAGCATATCCATGGACTTTATAGTGGGTTTACCTTGAACCCCTAAAGGCCATGACTCGATTTGGATGATTGTTGACCGACTGACCAAGGTAGCTCACTTCATAGCTGTGAGGAATGACTACAGAGTTGAGAAGTTAGCAGATCTATACCTCAAGCACATTCTCAGACTCCATGGAGCCCCCACTAGCATAGTGTCTAATCGTGGCACACAATACGTGTCCAAGTTCTGGAAGAGTCTCCACAAGGCCATAGGGACTCGACTAGATTACAGCACCACGTACCACCCATAGACAGATGGTCAGACAGAGAGGGTTAATCAGATTTTGGAGGACATGCTCCGAGCTTGTGTCTTGAAGTATGGGTCTGATTGGGAGAAAAGCTTGTCCCACGTAGAGTTCTCATACAACAATAGCTGCCAGGCTAGTCTTAAGATGTCACCGTTTGAGGCATTGTATGGCAGAAAGTGTAGAACCCCTCTGATGTGGTCAGAGGTAGGAGAGAGATCATTCTTTGGCCCTGCAAAGATCAAAGATGTTGAAGAAGGAGTCACCCAAGTGTGAGAGAACCTGAGGATTGCCCAAAGCCGACAGAAAAGCTACGCAGATAACCGTCGGAGAGACCTCGAGTTTCAGGTTGGGGACTATGTCTATCTCAAAGTCTCCCCACTCCGAGGCACTGTTAGATTTCATGTGAAAGGGAAGTTGGCCCCCAGGTATGTGGGACCTTACAGGATTTGTCAGAGGATCGGCAAGTTGGCATACAAGGTAGAGTTGCCTGAGGAGTTGATAGGAGTACACCCAGTGTTTCACATGTCCTAGCTACGCAAGTGCTTGCAGTTGCCAGAGCAAGAGGTACACACAGATGCACTAGATATTTAGGACAATACCCATATGCATATAACCCATAGG